AAAGACAAAAGAAATGGTTGAAATCTATCGCTCGACTTACTTTGATATTGTATGTGTATTCGTTGTTGTAGTGGAAGTCTTTTGTACTACTGGTTTATTATTTTCATTTGGTGTGGAAGCTCGATTTGTTCCATTTGTATGTGTATATGGCGATCGTTGTTGTCGGTAAGGCTGATTATTTTGTGAATAATGATCAGCACTTGTGGAAGATGTTAAAACAGGTGAATGAGATGTCGGAGATGTGATGCGCTGTTGAGAACGCTGATATTGCTGTTGTTGTTGTTCAATATTGTTATTATTTGAATGTGAAGCAAAATCCGGTCCAGTGGTTGAGCGTTTTGGTGATTGTGAACGCTGTGTCACGGATGGTGAGATAACATTGGCCGCTGGAGATATTGTACGTGGAGGTGTTGATTGAAGACCTGTTTGATTATTATTTGAAATTGATTCTTCGTAGACTGCTTCCTCAACTGTTGGTAATGACGATCCTCCAATTGTACTATATGTTAAATTATTATTATCTTTCAAATTAACTATAGCTAATGATCGTGACATATCATTTACAAAATTTCTATTATAGTCTCCAAATATTTGTGAACGTATAAGACCATACGAAAGTCCATCATATTGTGGTGCCAATGATCTTGACATTAATTCAGTTGAACGTGGTTTACCCGTTGGTGTAGCATTAAATGGAAACATTGTTGTCGGTTTAAATGGTGTACTTAATACATGTTCAGCCCATGCTGCCTCAAGTATGGGTTTCTGAAATTTTTCGATATGTAATGAGAGAGATTTTTGTTCAAATGGACACGAAAATGTTTCCGTGGGCAATGCATGTAACCATGACAATAAACTAACATCGGTATCAGATAAACGGGTTAATAATAACAAAGTATTAGGATCTGTTAAATCAATTGTTTCATCGGTAGCTGTTGCTCGAGCTTGACAATGTTCAACACATGATTCATATAATAAACCTTTCACTAATAATTGAACTAGACGATCACCTTGAGCAACGGGTGTTGTTTGTTTATCGACCTAAGTGTATAAATCAGTGAATCATCGTTGTCAGAAAAAAGAAAAGGAGATCTAAGTTTGAACAAAGTTATAGCTCAAAGCCTATGGACATAATAGTTAAATGTCTCTTCATAAAAGGAACAGTCTCACTTTTCGAGATTTGTACCCTGTGTGTCCTGCTTTTCAAGTTTTTTTTACCATTTATTCTTTTTTTGTATAACAGAAAGTATGCGTGTTAAATTTTTGTCTTGCGATAGTAATATGAGAAGGCCAATAAACAACAGAAATATACGATAGAAAAAACAAGATATATTCACATAGCTTTAATTTTCCCAGTGACATTTTTATAACGGCAAATAATGTGATTATCTTTCTCCTTCGTTGTGGGAAAAAAGTCTTCCTTTTCTCGAAACTTATCTCACTTCAGTTTTTTCTAGTTGGCATTCCTGCTTAGGACAATGAATGTTTCTCTATTATCTTACTTGTAAAAATCGCTGAACAAGTGGAAATACTTCTTGAAAACATTGTACTCTTCCACCACTTGGATTCCAATTACGATAATCCGGATGATCTTGTAAACGTTTTAAAGTTAATAAAAATGATAATTTCTTATATTCTTGTTCAGATGGACAAAATGGATGTAAATCATTCAAAAATCTATAACAAAAAGAAATGAATCGATCTATAGTTTGATGTATTTCCGAAATTATGACTTACTTAACTATCTGTTCTACAGATAAGTCATTTTCAATTTGTGCTTCAGTTTTCAGACATAGTAACTCTAAAAACTGATATTTTAAGACAATATAAATAAATTGTTTAGCGTCGAACGAGTCGATGGTTTTCAGAGGTTGAACAAAGTCTACAACATCATCCCATTGGCCGTCCAAAATTAATTGACGTAGGAATAATATATCTTCAGAAAATGAACCATTAATTATGCCTATAATATATAGATAAACAAATTCTTTAGTAGCAAAAATATATAAAAAATGCTACAAATATAAATGATTTTCAAGCTCGAGGTAAGTTGTCTGATTTTTAACCATTATTTAAACTCGAAATGAGAGTCAGCCTGTATTAGCCATTTAAAAGTTTCTATTTTATTCTATCAGTCAAACTTAGAGTCAAAGAGTTCGAAATTCGCAGAACTGAACTCGATACACTCTTTAAAATGTGCGAAATAGAATTTGCAATTTTCGCAAAATGTTCTAGAAATTAATGTAAAAGAGGTGTGTTACTATGACACCTCATCTATTTAAATTTTGCCGTCGATGTCAATAAATTCTGGCAACAGTCAGCTTAAGACATATTACGCTACACTTTCCCTAAACACAAACTGAAGTGGTACGCTTTGGATATCTCATCGACTTTTGAGAATACTTTATTAGGAAAAAATAGAAAGTCCGAGATAGTGTAATTTTTTATTTCGTGTCTCTCGAGTACAAACAAAATTATGTACAAAGACCCACTTCCACACTGCTGAAAATGAATATATTGAGAGAAGGCATGAGAAATATCATACAAATAACAGAATAATTAGTTTCAGCGCTGTTTCTCTGTTTCTTGAATAAAAACTAAGACAGAAGATTTGCTATTGTTGTTCTAGAGATAGCGGTGAAATGTATGATGTTAAAGTCAGAAATGATCAATGTAGATATTAATTACATCATCAAAACTTCTTTTTGAATCCAGCACAACCAAAATCATTCTGTCACATATAGTACATTATAAAAATTACACAGTTACTTAGAAAAACCTTTTAGTTATTCATTAAAATGTTCTCGCTCCTTAACATTGTCATATCGAAAATGCTGATCTTAACTTAGATTCAACTTAAGATTTTTTTGTTGATAACTTTCCACGATTTAATAAATGGAAATGTACACATGATATATACGGTTTCAATTAATGCAATATATATTTTTCCAGCGTTCTTGTCTTTGTCTATGAGTCTGTTGACATTATTCGACGGCATCAGCCTTGACAAGGATAAATTGAACTTTAAAATCAATTTCTTACGCGTAAAGTATAAGGAATAACTTTACCAATTTAATTTATGAACAAAAGGTGTTAAGAGGTGAAAAACATTGCCTAACTAGGATCAATAAAGATTTCGAAATGAAGCACTCTCTAACATTCTTTTTTTAACACGAAGGTTCTACTAGGTTGATAGACAGATAACCAAGCACATACCTGTTTCGCGTTCGATATCTAACATGCTAATATATAACTCTCGATTTTGAAGAAAATCGAGTATAAGTTTTACAGCATCTCGTTCCGCGATTGCGACGTTTACACGTAAATTAGACATAAGTATTGGCCCAAGGAATAACAAAATATCTAAAGTAACAATATAAGTTCGAACATCTTAGTTAAACATAATTAAAACCACTCTTAATAAATTTCAGAGCCAAGGGTGTTAATAACTAGACAATAGAAATATGCGATTCAGCAATCAGTTTTATACTTCTTGTAATACTACAAAACGAATTTGCCAAATTGATTGTGTAGACATACTTATGTATTAAATCTATTCATCATGTGCTATCATTATCATCATCACCATCATCGGTTGTCGTTTAGCCGAAAACAATAGGGATCCAGAATATATCGCGTTAAAGCATACGTTTCCATTGGTAAATACACCACAAACGCGAAAGAATGAAAACGATGTCGCAAAAGTATGCTTCTCGTTCAGAGATCTAAGAAAAAAGTGAGAGAAATTAATCGAATTTTATATAGTTAGATTCAGATTTCCATGTAGATCACAAATATAAACTTTTTTTTGAATAAAGAGGCTTGGGTAATTAAAAATTGAACTTCTTATTTTGTTTCACTCTGAACTATATGGAAAAAGAAACGAGAACGTAACTTTTTTTTCTCTTTTCCATGTGCAACATGATCCTATTATGTTATGTGCTAGTATAAAAAATTTATTCATTCTTTTAAATAAGTTGACACCGACATAAAAAGGTGCGCGCAGGAATAAAAGGGAAAAAGGAAGGAAAAATGCATTGTCTATATACAGACAATTTTTTCTTTCCTTTATCCCTTTTTTCTGCACCACCGCATAAGACGGCTTCCCAAACATATGCTTAAAATTTCTGTATATACTGAGACTTTTGAGTTCTACCCAGATCTCAACGATTTACAAAGCGGAAACATGTTCTCGGAGAGATATGTGTGTTCTGTTAAAATTTTAACAAAATTAAAATTTATTTTTTAATAATAAAATATTAGTTTTGTTCAAAATTCGTTCGATAGAACTCATGAAACTTCGTATATTAATAGAAGATTTTTCTAGTTTTAAACTATCAATCACTGTTGACATTACCAGAACAGGCTGACATCTGCGTTTTGTTGAAGTTTTGATTGAAATAGAATCGAAGAAATGGATGCTATTTTACAAAGAAGAAGAACGTGTCAAAACGTTATGCCTACGCTACACTTACGCCTTTATTTCTTAATTTTGTTGACTAGCTGTCAATGTGACGTGTTAGTGTTGTCAAACTGCATACTTTTTCACTTGCTCGTTGTAGGACTCTTTTTTTATCATTAGTACTGTCATTATTTGTTCAATCCAACATAACTGACGTATTTTGAAAGTATTTGTACCCAACTGGCATCAAGAATCCTGTTATTGCATACAACTCATTCAGACGAAAAGCTACACCTTTTCTAGCTTCTGACTGATTTCTCTTCATAAATTTGAGCCGAGAACACTTGTAACCGCAGCATCAGGTTCAATTATTTATCTTTAGTTTAAGATTCAATAGATAAGTTATTTTTTCGTATAAATATAACATCTCGATAAAATGGTACTGTTAGCAGCCTCCATATGTACAAAAGCTGGAAAACGTGAGTATAATTCGTGTTTTTGTTTTGCTAACGAATCACTTAATACAATTCTTTTGTTTTTTTATTTAGCGTTGGTGTCTCGACAATTTGTTGAAATGACTCGATCGAGAATTGAAGGTTTATTAGCTTCATTTCCGAAATTGATTGGAGGATCTAGTAAACAGCATACGTTTGTTGAAACGGATACAGTCCGATATGTTTACCAACCGTTTGATAAATTATACATGGTTTTATTAACAACAAAAGCTAGTAACATACTGGAAGATCTTGAGACGCTTCGATTATTCTCACGTGTGGTAAGAACCACAAAACTGTAAGGATGTTTTTTTTCGTAATACATTTCATTAACTTTTTGTTTAGATACCAGAATATTGTAAGACTGTTGATGAAAAAGAAGTATTTGAACATGCATTCGATTTATTAGCAGCATTCGATGAAATTGTAGCATTAGGTTATAAAGAAAGTGTCAATTTAGCACAAATACGGATCTATACTGAAATGGAATCACATGACGAAAGAGTGTATGACGCAATGAGACAGGTAGACATTTGCTACTAAGAACGAAACTCATCCTACTTCGTCTATAAAAAGAAAACATTTTAACTAAGAATCGAATATTTGTGTCAATACTATCACAGAGATCAGCCGTCGACCGTGATGAAGGTTAAATTCACTGCATAATTCGTGCACCGCTTTGATAGATGCGATAGTAATCATCTACGGATGTTTTTTAATTGTCTTCTACACTATTTTTATTCTCTTGTAGAGTCAAGAACGGGATGCAAAAAATAAGATGATTGAACATGCAAAAAAATTAGATCGAGAAAAAAGTCAAAAACCAGGTGGAATAAGCAGTGGCGGAATATCATCCAATACGTACAATAACTCAACACATGAAGGAAAAATTGATGTTACACTAACACCAATAACATTTTCCAGTAATCCATCGTAAGAATGACATAACTGATGATTTTTTTACAACTTGCTATTTTTCAACCTGGATTTCCATCCAGAACTCTAATTTGTAGTTGTATTTTCATTTTGTATCTATTTTTCATCTAGGAACGTAATACATCCATCTACGCGAAAAGCAATGAAACTTGGTTCAAAGGGCAAAAACGTGGAATCATTTGTAGATCAATTAAAATCGGAAGGTGAAGTAATAGGAAGCGCATCACAAACACAAACTAAAACAAAACAACAAAGCCAAGCATTACCCACAATTCCACAGAATGAGTAGGTCAAAAAAAAAATGTCAGCAATTGTCTGTTTTTATATGCAACGCTACAAAATGATAAAAACAGTGTGTTGTCATTATGCAATATATATCTGCTGAATAAGTGCTATTTTAATTCTGAAAACAGTCTGCAGTAGTCTTCCGTACACATTCGACAAATCATGTTTTTCAAGATTTTTTTAAGACTATACATGATTTCCATTTTAGAGTACATTTAAAACAAGAAGAAAAGTTAAACGTTCGTTGTGGACGCGATGGAGGTGTAGAAAATCTGGAAATTCTTGGTATGGTTATGTTGCGTGTGAAATCAGAAGAGTATGGAAGAATCTTTATCGCAGTACAAAATAATGAAACAAGAAATATACAACTACAAGTATGTCTTTTAAAAACAAATGCACATCGTTTTTTTTATAAGACTATGCGTATTGAAGGAGATTTTTACAGTATGTATGTAACGTAAGAATATCTGGCTGTTTAGTCCTGAAGGTATTTTTATAATATTTTTGTGACATATAAATTCTTAAATTTGAATGACACTTCATTTTTTTCTATTCGTTTGTAGACACATCCGAACATTGATAAAAAATTATTTATCAGTGACTCACTAATCGGTTTAAAAAATCCAGAAAAACCCTTTCCTATTAACCAAGACATTGGAATATTAAAATGGCGGTATCAATCAACAGATGGAAAAGAAATTCCGCTAACAAGTAACGGATGTATTTTCCTAATGAGCAACAATGATTTTCAGTCTTTTTGATTATTCTTATTAGTTAATTGTTGGCCAAGCGAGACATCGAATGGAGGGTGTGATGTTAACATTGAATATGAACTTCAAAATACAAATTTGATTTTAAGAGACGTCATCATTTCCATTCCACTACCGTAAGTGTTTAATCAAATAGTTCGAGCGTATTATTTTTAATATTTATATTATGCAAGATAAGTTTGTTTATTAAGCCAATTTGTCTCTATATTATTTAGTTCTGGTGGTCAAACTCCTGTTATTGGACGAATTGATGGTGATTACAGTTTTGATAGTCGAAAAACTTGTCTTTCATGGTCATTACCTGTTATTGATCAATCAAATTCAGAAGGAACATTAGAATTTTCCGTGCGTGGAAAAACAGCCGATTTTTTTCCAGTTAAAGTCGAATTTGTATCAGAAACATCATTTTTTAACATCAAGGTACGAATTATTTGTGTAATACTGAAATACGGGCTCATTTTGATGGCTGAGTTTGAAGAGATAGTTGCATTTTTTTAACAGAGAAGATGTAGAATATTGATTATACTGCTCTCTTTGCTATGAACTTATATTTTGTCGATAGTTCTACAATACAGTAATAATTTGTTTTCTTTAGATTGCAGATGTTAAATTTGTTGATAGTCGTGAATTTGTTCCCTATTCAAGTGAAACAAGTTTGGTTGCTGAAAAATATGAATATGTTTAAAATTATATCTGACAATATCTAGTAAATTCAACTATTTATATTTTTACTGTTATCACATGATGAACTCAAGATCATCAGATGATTTCTCCTTTTAAAATATTTAATTTTTAAAGAAATAAAAAAAGTTTGCTGTTGTCTCTTTTCATGTATTGTTGTTTTGTTTTTTTGGTCTGCTTATTTTATTGAATTTTTCTCATATTTTTTTCTCGTTTTAGTATTTCACTTTGAGTTGCTATTCGTTATTATATACATACTACACTGACAACTTCGTCCTTTCTCCATTAACATGAAACATTTTTTTTTCAGTCATGTTTTTAGATAATTTTAAATAAGAAATATCTGAAAGAGAAATGTAATCATATTTGATTAAAGACTGTTTTATGAGCTAGTTATACATTAGATCATTTACTGCAGGACGAGTTTTGTTGGTGACTACAACATAATTAATTTCACTTTTGACATGACTACAACTAAAAATTAGAAAGAAATAAAAGTTCAAAATATAGATCATTTTTGTTTTATTCTGATTGTAAATAACTCATAATGCCAACTTCTAGATCCAGTTTACATGACACAATATCTAAAAACTTGTTATTATTCTCTAGATGTTGTGATTACGTTTAAACATGAATAAAAAAAGTTGAATTTCTTGTAAATATCAGTAATCCATCACTAACGATTTATCTTACGTCGTGTTAACTAAATAAATTTGTTTGGTAATTATGACTACTACAACATTTTCATTTATCGAATCTCAATTACATGATGTTATTCGAAGTCAGCAAGCTACCATTGATCAGTTAACTGCTGAATTAGAATTTAAAAAAAATTATGTACCATTAGAACAATATGAGGATGCATTATTAAAATTAGAATCAAGTGCAAAAACTGAAATTGAATTAAAAGATAAATTAAATGATATGAATTTAAAATTAAATGAGACATTTGTTATATTGAATGATGTTTGTAAAAAAATTGATTCTGAACGACAAATTTTTAATAATTTATTATTAAATATTAAAAAAACAACTGTTAATGAAATGAAAAAAAATACTGAACTATTTACTAAAACATTACAAATTGAAAATGAGTATGTTGAACAACGGCAATTATTAGAAACAAAAAATTGTGAATTAAAACAGTTGACAAATAAAATGAAATCAAATGATAAAAAATTATCATATACAATAAATAAATTAGAAGTAAAATTAGAACAAGAAAAATTTATAACTAGAGAAATATCGAAAAATAAATTTAAATAGACAAAATGTTACTAGTTTTTAGTATAATATTTTTCAATTTGTGTTTTATGTTTTCTTGTTATAGTCTTTTTTTCTCTTTGTATTTTCTTTTTCTACTCTTTTGTAATATTAAAAAGTTAGAGCAGAAATGAGCTGCCAATGAAAAAAATTGATTGTGACGTATATTGTTATTCAAGATGTTTTGTTTGATAGTGATCTATTACGGAACGTTAAAAGACCTATTACTCGCTTTTACAAGCAATTTGTTTCAAATATCTGATTTTACAAATACCATCAATTGATATGAAAAAATGTACCGTTCAGGTACCTTAAAAATAAGAGAAGCGTCTGACTGTTTATTAAGAGAACGATTGTACAAAAACTGTAAATCAGCCTAGTATATTGTATATCACCGAAATAGCTAGAGAAATATGGATTATATTGCACTGGACTAAGATCCTAAAAAATAGAATTGCTGCCAAGGTTTTGAGATTAGAGTCAAATAAATTTTAAAAGAGAAGAAAAACGCTTCTCTTAATGTTTCCAAATATTGTATCTATTTTTTTTCAAAGCCACGAACATTCTAATCAAAGAGTGAATCTCTTGCAAAAGATTTTAAAATCCAAGGCATCAGCAAGAAAAAACCCTTCTCTCTTTCCTTGTTCTCCACTATCGTTGTCAGCATTATATATAAACAAATACTAATTTTGCAGAAACTATAATTAATCCAAATTCGGAGAGTACATTTCAGTATGAGTGATTAGTGAGAACATAAAAAAGACTGGCTATAGAATTTGAGCGCCATCATTAGCAGCCACTAACATACTTCCTGAAAAGTTCAAGGTTTTCAGAAGGAATCTCACCCCTGAAATTATATAACTCTTGCTCAACTAGATCAAATCAATTTTCATTTAGGTAGTCTTCGAGTCGTTAGATGATTCATTTATATTAAATCTAAATATATATGCAACGGGTTTGTCGTGAATAAAATTGAATATATAAATCATTAAAAGTGTGAGACAGGGATAAAAATGTATCTAAGATTTTCTGATAGCTGTATCTACAACTGATTTGTGTGAGATATTCAACATTCTTAGATAATTTACATTCTATTTATTATGTATAAAACACTTTTTCAGCACAGAAAAATAAATGAGTTCAAATACTATTCGTCAAAATATTAATTATGAGTAATATTCAGTTTGAATCAACATCTGGACAGTCATTGCCATTTGTTACGGTATCAACGTCACGAATTCCTCCAGCCTGTATAATCAAACAAAATAAGTGTTTGATAAAAAATAAATGATATTATCTTACAGTGATTTGAAATGGAACAGATCCTTCTGGTTGATGTGGAGATTTGATCAAGATAGCATCACGACAATTATTCTTCCATGATAATTTCAAGCGTATGAGTGGCAAATGTCCCCACATTTCACCGAGCGCTGAGAAAAAAGAATTTCAAATGATGAATTTAGATAAGTCTGCTGGCTTACATACTTGGAGTTGTATATTTTTCTCCGTGAGATGAATCTACTTTTGTTGCTGTGTGATTCGTAACAATGACCTACAAAAAAAATGAAGCAATAATGTCTGTTTTGGTTAATTTACTTCTCGTTTCATACGGCACATTTGTAATCCGTGGCTAATTTTTGCAAAATAGATACAACCATTGTCGTATATTTTGTTCTTAAACTATTGTCACCTTCAACAGTACGTAACGGATGAGCTAAACTATCAACAACGATCAATTTTATCTATAAACAAAGAAGAACATCAATCAAACCCAAATAACACAAGAGATAATGACGGTGCGACCGTTACCGTAGAAAGGAGTCGAAACATACCCCTGTTACTTTGAGAAAGTTGTGACTTGGGGAAACCGAAGGTCAAGTTTACTCCCATTTTTGCACAAACATCCTGCTCTGATCACTTCACATACTTTTTTTTCTGATAAAAATAGCGCTTTTAGTTGCATGATACAAGAGATTAAATTTGTGATATTCAAACAACGAAAATATGTGACATTTTCTAATAATTTTCTATGATCAACTTGAGCTGATGTATCCCGAGACACTAGAACAATAATGATTTAGAAAAGAGTACATTATAGTGATATTTTGTCTAAAATACTTTTGTAATGGGAATGTGCTGCGACAGCGATATCGTACAGTCGGATAGGAATAAAACTTCCTTCAGTGTCAATATAAATTGCACCTCCTGTTTCACCAGCTTTCATTGAATGAGACATTTGAGCAGCGATTGCCAGTTGTAAACTAAAAGAACCAATTTAATCAATCAGATTCAATCCGACAAAAAGTTCGTTTTTGCACTAAAGTCTGAGAGTACGCAAAGAAAACGTATTTTTCTCTTTCGCTTTTCATTCCCATATGAGGACGTTTTTCCTCAATGAAGCCATAAACGAATTTTCTTAGAGATAATCATGAACATCTGTAAAGAAAGATTGACTTCCGCACAATCGGTGTCCTTTACAAAGTGATTAATTAAGCGGATTAAATGTTCATTTTCTATGTCGTACCATAAATTTGACTTTCCACTGCCAGGATTTCCAAATATTTCTGTTAAATAGCCAACTGGAATCCCACCATCTAAAGAGAAGACCGTAAAAAATTACTTTCAAATATAAACGGTGGTGTGGCGAAGAAAAAAAGCAAGTTGTGTTGTGTGTATGTGTTGTGCGACAACGATAAGAACTTTTGAGAGAATATGCTTTCTTTTTGCTGCTAGCTGCTACAATCCTCTGGACAGATTTCACCCTCAAAAAATCAGGAGAAAGCCATGTCAATTTTGAGCGAGAGAATGGGGCAAAATCAGAAAGCAGGTGCAGTACACCTATCGCCATGGGACTAAATATAAAAAAGAAAACATACCTAACAAATCATCAATTTTTTTAGAGTACGTTGATATTTTTTCTTTTCCTTCGAAGTTTAAAACATCCAAAGCGGATATATTTCGTTTAGTCATCACACACTTCCGATATACACTGTGTAAGACTTAGAATTGCTCTATGTAAAGTGAAAAGACAGCTGAATCGTATAGTAAGCAAAAACAGAATTTAAAGATTCACTATAGCTGATGGAAAGCGACTTTTTTTATCCTCCGTTATTAGTCCGCTGAAACTACAACGATATATATTAGATAATTCTGATAACGTAGTAATTTGTTATCGATACTATGTACCTCTCAAGTTAGGTACCATGATGCCCTAGTCATAATGCCATCTATAGTCTTCAGAACAATAGTTAGCGTTGAGTATTAGTCAATTTTATATCCATTCATCGATCATTTTATTGATTGCTTTCAAACTAACATGGATCAATGCAAATACAAGTAATATTAATCTATCTACTCTTTCATTTCACTCGTTATTTCCTTTTAGCTCTAAAAAATACCTCCAAGGAGCCATGATCAATGCGAATTGAAGTAGATAGTTGAAGTAGATGTAGTCTTAAAATAAAGACCGAAAACTTAAGTCAGACTTGAGTCATTGACGCATTTGTTTATGTTTTGAAAGTCGCTGACAACAGTGACAAACTTGGGACAAAAACACGCGAAATAACGAAATATTTATTCTCTAGACCTTCTTAAAAAGTTTCGTCGAATCGTATTGTTAAATGTCTGAGCTATTCGAAAAATGCGTCAATGACTCAAGTCCGACTTAAGTTTTCGGTCTTTACTTTAAGACTACATTTCCCATGACTTAAGTCACTTTTTCGACTTAAATTTTTTTGTAATACGATAAAACTTAAGTCCAAAGACTTAAGCTAGTGACAGAGACTTAAGTCAGACTTAAATTTTTTGTGATACGGCCTCCGGAAGCTCTAAAAAGCATATGCCTGTGAAACTCACTCCAGGGTGGTCTGCATCAGTTAGTTCTCTTTTGATCGCCGGTTTTTGACACTATTTATTTCCATTTCTTTCATTTTACATGGTATCTGCTTTATGGATATCACATCCTATTAAAAACTGATCATTTCAGTGGGGTGTTGAGTGGTAGCGAAAAAAGCTGTTAATTGCTTAACGTCAGTTACTAAAAGATGATAAAATTGAGTATTTTTCCATCTAACTGTCTCACCATTTCTACTTATTCTTGAAAATTCCATTTTGGGATAATGAAAGTTTTTCATTAGCTTTTGTCTTAGTCTTTATAACATGCTCCGCTTAATATTATATGAATGGAGCTCTTTGTAGCATATATATGGAGACCATCGAAAAAGACTACAGCTATTAATTCTCTGTTGCTCTCTCGTTATGCCAAGAGATGAAATTCAATGGAACTTCTATTTTTAATAATAATGTTTTTTATTTTCTTTACTCATTCATAATGAAGAAATGCGAATATAAAAATTGAAAGTATTTAAAACATAAATGAGACCCTATATTCATCTTCCTTCATGGTTTATTAATACAGATGCGTCGGTATTCAGTACATGATTCTCGAAAAAGCTTTAAATACTCTGATCATCAGATTTATGTAAAATTCTACTCTCATTATTTAGATATGAATTTAGTACCACGTATTATTCCTGGTTCATTAAGCAACGCAAATAAAGATGCTATTGACTGGTAATGTTAACTTATTATTTTAAACATATTTTTATATTCACTTCTACTTTTCTCTAGGGGGTTTCACGGTCTCGTTGCATACGGCTGTCAGTCGACAATAGTGGTGATCGAACCTCATCATTTTCAAGTATGACACAGAAGGAATCTTTTTTCTCGATTTTATCCACCACTATTTATAGATTATTCAATGTATGGAAAAACATAAAGAGCCAATCACAAAGGTAAACATTTTTCTGTATTATTTCATTAAAAATTTGCGTTTATGCTCCAAACAGGTAAAATGGGCAGCGGAGAATTATTATCATAATCATGATAATCCATATAGTTTGAAATTAGCTTCGGCGGATACGAGCGGTAATATTCTTATTTGGGATGTTTACAAAGCGACAGTACAAAGTGAATTTCATGAAGGAAAACAGCCAGTAGCTGGTAAATCACTTCTTTTCTCCTATCGAAAAATAACAGTCTGTCTCTTCATTGTTTGTTTCTCAGATATGTCTTGGTATATCGGTGATAGTAATCTTATTTATCATCTTCTTGTTCTTCATACACCTAATCAATTGGTATTATGGAATTGTTTAAATGGAACAAAAGTTTGGGGTGTAACATACAGTGATACATTGTTGCATATTGCACAAGATTTATTCAATGTTCAACGTTGTATATGTAAGAAGAAGGAGCGTAAAAACTTTTATCAAGAATCGGAAAGTCTTTTCGCTTAGTACTTGGACAAAATAGTATAATCCTTATCGAAGATCTATCATTAACCAATAGTGCAAATGGTCAAGCACGAAGATTTTATATATCGAACTCGAATAAACAGCAATCAACAACAGATTTAAAACAGACACCGTCGTTGACATCATTAAATGGAATATCAGCAGCACAATTAACAACAAAAATAAAAACAATTATTGAAGGAGAAAATAAAAAGTAAATGAAACGTTGACTCAGAACTGTCAGTGTGAAGAAATAAATCGAACATAAAAACTTGATGAAATAACACACTGTGTTTACAAAACTTTCCTCAAACTACGCAGATCCAACAGTTTGTTGAAATTATTCTTTAATAGTGTAACATTTCCAAAAAACCTAATTTTTCTTTTTTTCATCCAAAGAGAATTATTACATTTTGTTACCTTTTTGTTTTTCCATTACAGGCAGGATGATTTAGCATCTATTGTCAGTTTAAACGATTGTATTCAAATACTATTTCATCCATTACATCGTCATCTAATATTAATTGTATATCCGCGGGAAATATTGATATTTGATCTGGAAATATGCCAGACAGTGGGAACGATATTATGTGACAAACATGTTGCTGCATTTTATAAAGTAAGACGCTTTGACGAAAAAAACAGTTTACTCTTATTTATTCATCCTTATAGATCTATGCGTGTAAGCAGCGTGATATAATTATTTGTCTTCATGAAAGTGGTACAATATCGATAAGAATTCGTCATATCGAGAATAGTACATTAGCAGCATTACAGTCAACTCTAAGTATGTTTTTGCTTGTAGCAGTTTTAAAATGTTGGATCTCCACGATGACATCCTCTCTCATTAAACAATAGCCTTTAAAAATACGTGAATAGATCACGAATGTTCAATACATTATTACTGGCTAAAATTGACTTTTTTCTCTATTTTAGCTTCGTTGGCTGATTTCGTTATAGATGTCACCTATGATTTGATTTGTTTTTCTGATGCATTCCGTTTATCAAAAAATACAAAAATTTGTTCTTTTGCTGTTTCACCATCAAATGAAACTACAATTGGTGTTATATTAACTGATGGAAGACTTTTACTTTGGACTACTGATAAACTAATATTAAAAAATGAAAATTTGGACATAAATAACAATCGAATTCCATTATATGGTTTGATGTTTGCTGGCCCTTCTTCTTCATGTGTCATTCAAATGTGTCCTCCAATGACAAGTAAAAATTGGCGACATTGGCAAGCATTATTAGCGGTTGGTGAGAAAGATGAAATAAGTTTTTGTTGTTTTTTTTAGTTATAACTATTTTTTTACCTATAGGCTGTAGCAACGGCGATATTGTTTTGTTCGACTTAAATAGTGGTATGATTCAACGGCAAATGTCCATCCATTCGTGTACCGTTCGGTAACAGAAATGTTCTTTCTTTTTTACGGTACTTGTAGATATTCTTTTTATTTTAGAGGCGTTGTGTGGTTGTCAACAACAATGCTGCTTTCGTGGGCTTACCATAATACAGATGGACGTTCGTTAGTGAGAAATGAAGTTTTTATTGTAAATATTCAGTCAGGTTAGTTAAATCATCTTTCTAGGAACAATTTGTACAATTCTACTCAGATATGTGTTTATATAAATTACAGGAAAACAAGAGCCATTCCGATTCGAAAACAGCATAGACGAGTCACCGATAGAGAACATTAAAGTATCGCATACAAGGTTCAAATTAATTAAACTAAATAATGCTTTGAATAGTACTTATTTTTTGCTTTTTCTAGACATTACTTGATAATTCTTTTTCGTGAACAACCATTTGAAATCTGGGATTTGCAGAATATGACCTTGGTTCGACGAATGCCGAAAAAATGTCCAAAGATAACTGCTCTCGTAAGTAAATATTAATGCAGAAAATGAGAGTACTGTAATGATACTAGAATGAAGTTATTTTAGTCCAAAGTTATCTAATCTCATAATTTATTCAGGTCATTTCTTTTTAAAGATGGAATTACTCTTTTTTTTTATCAACACGTGATTGTTTATAATTTTAAGGAATGGTCAACGAATATTGTTTCAAAAAAAAAAGCAACTGATTCCAGTCAAATGAACAACAGTGGAACAGAGTCTGAACTTGAATTAACACGACGTCTAAGTGATTCTTCAACAATCGAGTTCGTTTCGTGTATACACTATTTATTTTTCAAATTAATTTTTTGAATTAACTTTTAGTGCTGGTGATAAACAACAATCTATTTTATCGAGTCCACAGCGTGAACATTTCATATTTACAGATGAATACAATTTATTGTATCATTTTTACGTTGAAGCACGTGTCATTAAAGAGATCGCTACAGTACCGCCAGACGTATGTACGTTTTGAATAATATGCAAAACTGTCGTTTTTTATATAATTCGTCATTTTATTCATTTTACAGAGCTCATCGGCAACCGTCACTGATATTGGTAAGATTCCATTTAGCCTTTTTAATTTATACTAACATGTTTTCATTATCTTCCAGCTTTGAAAGGAGATTTCATGTTATCAGGCGATACTGATGGTATTTTGCATATTTGGAACATCAAAGAGAAACAAACGAGGTTTGAAAAATAGAAGAATTTTGTAGTGAGCGAATGTATAAATAATTTTTATTTCTATTCGTTCTAGATCATTTCCAACACGTCGTGGTTCAATACGAAAAGTTCGTTTTGCTCCTGGAAAGGGCAATTATCGTGCATTTGTTTTGTTTAACGATGGTTTAGATATATGGGATTTAAAAGATAATGATCGTATTAGTTCATTAAAATATCCTCGTGATACTATATCAATAAATGATTGTGATTGGGCATGTTCTGATAAACCCATTTTGGCCTGTTCTGATTATTGTTTTAGAATTTATGAAATGAATTTAGTTGATTCATCTACATCGCTAGAATTTCAGACTACTCATCGTAAGTGAAAAAAAGAAGATATTTATTATGTAAACATTACTCTAATATTTCTTTTTAAGAATCATTTTTCTGTCCACATTTTCTTCCATCACGTACTACATTTTTATTAAAGCAATTGTTATGTATTCAACCATGGAATAATGATAATCAAATAATATTTGATTTTAAGACAATTTGTGACGATGGAGCAATTGAAAATTTATTGAATAAAGAAATCACAAAGTTGGACAGGTACGAGATATACGTAACTTGATATTTTTAAGAAAAAATCTTTTCAAGTCATTTCAATTATTTGATTTTCTCATCTATAAAAGTTGTTTTTTTTATCTTTTGTAGCGATGTATGTAAATATTTGTCCAATACCAAATCAATTGTCGAACGTTGTTCATTTGTTGCAAAATTATTTAATGATCAATGGGAAATTCGTTTTTGGCGATTATGTGAATATTATTTGTTTGTTTACGGAAAATCACCTGATGATGAATCGATTCGTCCATCTTCCTTACCTTTCTCATACGATTTATTACTTGATAAAACAACATTTGAACATATTCAATTAGAACGTGCTATACGACATGATGTCAAATGTACAACAAAACCAATGATTTCACATTGTATTAATACATATTTATATTTAAAACAAATTGATCGTGCTGTTCATCTTCTGTTGGATACTGATCCAGATGATACTGATTATGCAATGAATTGTATTAAAGCTTGTCTTATAACAAGTTTACAAAATAATTCAAATAATAGTACATCAAAAAATACAGTTACAAAATTAGTAGCAACAAATTTAATAGCAAATTCAAAAGTTGACGAAGGCATACAACTATTATCTACAATTGATATGTGTGCAGAAGCATGTCGCTACTTACAAGATCATAATCAATGGGATAAAGCGGCATGGTTAGCCAAAGTAAGATTGGGAAATAATGAATATATTGATGTTATGAAACGATGGGCAGAACATTTAAGAATTCATTCAACAACACAACAGGTGAGCATCAAGTGGTTTATAAGGCTTATTTGAGAGAGTAAACAATTTTTTGTATATTATGGAGAATATTAATTTTATTAGTAAGAATGAATGTTTTTGAAATGAAATTGATATGATATTCTCATATACTCTACCTTCATATGGCATTATACTTTCAAAAGTATTCATAAATTGTCTATTTTGTTTTTGAGATGACTGCATCCTTGATACTGATATCGTGTGGTCAATTTCGTCGTGCTATTGAAGTATTGCATGGTCAAAATGCATTTGAATTAGCTGTTCGCCTTCTTATGTGTTGTAAACAATTTCAAATCGAAGATTGTTGTAATGAAAATAATACAGAATGGGAAAATAAGTTATATGATGATTATGCTAATTATATGCAATCAAATGGATTTTCAATGGTGGCAAAATATTATCGAACGAAAATTTCATCCTTTAGTATTTTAGATGACTCTTAACATAAACGTGCAATTTAACTTTTTTTATTTTTAAAAAATTTAACAATGTTTTTTTTTCCATCTTTATGCAATTATTTCATTTTTTTGTCTTATTTTATTTTCTAGAAATAGTTGTTATGAGATGATTCGTTAGTATTTCACAAAAGTATATAATATGTCTGAAATTGATATCTTTCTGATGAATCTCATGCGATTCTCCAGACAAAAATATCCATAATTCTAAATTGTTTAGACTCTAAAAATGTTTCGTGATCGAGTTAACACTTGACACGTTTTTGTGGAAACTTTCAGGTCTTTCCTTTGTCAGAAGAAAAAACGAAGTTTTAATTTTAAAGAGGTTTGGTGGGCTAAATGACTCTTTACTATTCTTGAAGAACAAGTCTTAGGGATGCTGCATCCTGCAGCATAATACCGCATAAATACTATTTTCTTCCCCATGTCGTCGTTTCTTGTCTACAAAAAAACTATGGACATGTTATATACGATGTTTTCCACCGAAAATATACGTTAAAAGAACAACAAATGTATAAAATAACAGAAGAACACTTGAGTTGATAATGTCAGTTATAACTACCAAGAGTCAACGTCATTCATTAATATCACCGTTCTCATTTCACCATAGGCTTACTCATTTTACTCACACTGGAATCAATATTCTTCTATCTACAGACCAACCAGTTGGCATCGTCATGGGTAATATCAATTGGTATCCCCTTTTTCTAAGAGACACTTTTATGTTCTACCAAGTTCTTCTGATGTCAGCGCTCTACTTCCTTCTGTGTCCAATAATATATATATATATATATATATATATCCATGGTAAGAAAAGATCAGTTTCAGTCATATTTTTTGAATTTATTGTAAACAGACAAATACATAATAAAATAATAATTATATATTCTAGTAGTGCCTGAAATTCTCGACTGATATCTGTTTTTTCCAGTCTTGACTCAACATTCTTTGCTATATATTGAAGGTAATTAATGAACTCAAGTATGACTTTCCCGCAAATTACACATCCTGTTACTTCAATAAGTATTCTTTAGAGTTTGATCATGTTCATGCGTATATAGGTTTATCTTAGCAGTTGTAGTAGTTGAATGACAACTGTGAGAAATGCATAAATTTATAGGTTGAAGTTTATAACAATCATGGAATAAGATCGGTGATGTATTAAGAGTCCTACGTTTGTGAGAACTTGTATGCTAGCTTGAAACATTTTATTTGTGATATAATCGACTTTCTAGTTGGGCCATTGTGATCCACGAAGATGATGAAACTTTGTAGTCTATATATGTATGTTTGTACATTGGTCTTATCAAGGCTTCTCTAGACTTTTTTGGGTATTTTTACACATGGAAAGCATTTTTTAGGGTTTTCATCCGCAAAGGTAGAGGTTGTGAATGGTAGAGTTTCAGTCTCATCATCTTTCGGATTTATGTATAGTTGGCTTGTTTGCGAGGGTATCGTTGAACGGTTGATCAACGAAACAAGAAAAAAATGACATATTGTAATTGCCATTTGATATCTCTATTTGTGACTTTCTCTTCTCTGCACACAAACAAAGCATCTATTGCTTTCGTAACTAAAATCTAATAAATGTAGTTTGTCTTTTTTTGTGCTCTAAACCCAATGAAATTCAAATTTTCTGATGTTTTTGTGGTCGTATCAACTTGAGAAAAGATAATGGCATATCAATAGGACTAGTCTATCCAGAGATCATCTAGATTTACTAAACTCATTCATTTTTCTTTTTAAAAAAACCAAACGCGGCTATTCCGTTCACTAGCCATAAGAAATAGGACTTATGTCGATCATTTGTTAAGCCATCATTTTATTAATCGAAACTCGTCAACCTAGATAGACTTCAAGAAGCTTTTTACGTGAGCAAGTGGATAATAACTTGTTGTAAATACCTGCTCATTTTCATGCTTATCCCATGAAAAACGGCTGAAAAACACTTAAAAGGATATGGCGAAGAAGACAAATATATACCACTGGGTGGATGATAAAATATTATTTCAGATAGTATCTTCAGTGTTTGATATGAGACACAGTTGTATATTGCTGATATCGACATTAAAAGTATAGGTGTTACTAGATAAATCAGTAATTTGTAAATCTTGTTAACAGAACAACATTCTAGTATCAATAAATAAAGACTCGCTTTCCAATCGTCTCTATATTGTACTTCAATTCTGAGTCCATTCGAAAAACTAATAACTTGCGGTCTTTCTTTACTGTATTTAGTCGATGCTGTGTCCAACATGACTCATCGCTTTACTTGCTAGTGGAGACAGTAGCGACCACAGAATTTCATTAACTCTCGATGAGCTAAGGTTCTTGTCAATACAATTGATTTTGTCTTTTCTTGTTTCCTTATAGTATGTTCTAGTAGAACATACTATAAGGAAACAATGAGATTTTACGGTAAAATCTCATCAGTTCACATGTCTTAAAACTCAACTGTCATTGACAGAATATTGACCATCCGTATATTCAGACAAGATTTGAGTTTAAGGGAAGGACGGGCCCCTCCCTTCCTGTTTTTAACATCACTTTGTTGTCCATGTCAACTTACATATAGTATATCACAAAAACGATGATTCATCGTACCACAGAACGTTTACTCGGATACATAGTATACGTATATTATTGACTTGTGAGAGAAAACTTATTTGTTTGCTTGGATTTACAAATAGTATTTTCTTCCTTCACCTTCTCGCATCAGCTGAGCACGAATAAAATGCATGACTTAGGAGCTAACGAGGAATAGTAGCACGTCAGGATCCTACCTGAGTAATAAAGAAAAGGAAAGAGATGGGCTGATAAAAGGACTTATATAAGGAAAAAGGCATCTTTAGGCTCAATGTTCAGATGAATTCCCTTCTCCGAAAATAAAGATGCCTGGTAGAACCTTTTAGGGTTCCAGAATTGGATACCATATAAAAAGGTTCAATCCACAAAATATGGTTCTGTCTGGCGCCTTTCTTGTCGGAAAAACGGTTCCAGTCAAAAAAAGGTGCGGAGCAGAACCGTATTTTGTGTGTTGAACCTTTATAAAATGGCACCCAGTTCTGGAACCCTAAAAGGTTCTTCCTGACACCTTTGCTTTTTAGATTTTTAGAGCGTAAGGATTTCATAGGACCTCCCGAAAGCTTCAGCCCATCTCAATTTTCTCTATCATAGGAATACCCAATTTTTGAGCAATAAAAATGTCGTATTCGAAATCAGGATCTAAAACTGAGTCGACTGATGTGTATTTCTATCCTAACCGACCACTTTATTTTTTTCGAATTTTCACGTTGAAAAATTACCGAAGTTTTCATCTAAAACTGAAAATCAACCAAAAATTATATCTGTAACACAGTCGGTTAGGTTTTTTTGCACAAAATATGATCATGTCTTTGATAAAGGATCGTAGAGTTCGCAACTCGATAGAAGGCCCAATGCATTGCGTCCTCCTGTGACCAAGACTTTTCCTGATGATAATAAAGTGGTAGTGTGTTCATAACGTGGTAATGACATGCTAGCAGCTGTATTCCACTTGTTTGATAGCGGATCGTAGAGTTCACAACTCGATAGACTGCTCAATTCATCGTATGCACCTGTGACCAAGACTTTTCCTGATGATAATAAAGCTGCAGTGTGTAGTCGACGTAGTGATGACATGTTACCAGCTGTGCTCCACTTGTCTGATAGAGGATCGTAGAGTTCACAACTCGATAGACTAATCGATTTATTGGATCCACCTGCAATCATGACGTTTCCTGATGGTAATAAAGTGGCAGTGTGTTCATAACGTGGCGATGATATGCTAGCAGCTGTGCTCCACCTGTTTGATAGATGATCGTAGAGTTCACAACTCGATAGACTAATCGATTTATTGGAACCACCTGCAATCATGACGGATCCTGATAGTAATAAAGTGGCAGTGTGTTCATAACGTGACGATGATATGCTAGCAGCTGTACTCCACCTATTTGATAGAGGATCGTAGAGCTCACAACTCGATAGACTAATCGATTTATTGGAACCACCTGCAATCATGACGTTTCCTGATGGTAATAAAGTGGCAGTGTGTAGTCGACGTGATGGTGACATGCTAGCAGCTGTACTCCACGCGTTTGATAGAGGATCGAAGATTTCGCAAGTCGATACTTCGCTCGATCCACTGTATCCACCTGTTACCAAGACTTTTCCTGATGATAA